CATCATTCAATTACCCGGCGCAGTTTCTAAGGCCGAGATTCCCGGAGGGCTGGGCTGAGGGCTCCGCTTGGAGAACACAGTCCCCGTCCTGAGGCCCCTGCGCTGGGCACAGGCGCACCTCCCACCTGGCCGAGCACTTGGAGGCAAGCGCAGGGGGTGGTGTGGGCAGGGCTGGGGTGGGTGGGAGCATGGGGGCCGAGAGCGGGGCCTCCCACCCCGAATGCCGGGCCACCAGCTGCGTCCCCTCATGTTGTCACCGTTGTCATCCTGCAGTGCTTCCAGACACATCCGCTGCACCCGTGGGCCCCTCTGCCCCGCAGGAGAGGCCGGGTGGTCCAGCGACCCGGCCGGCGCCCGAGGCCCTCGAGGCCCAGCTCAGCACTCTGGTCCCCTTTCTGGCCCCTAGAAGTGCCCCTGAGCCACAGACGCAGCAGGGACGCTGCTTTCTGCTCTTCTGCAGGGGCTCGAAGCACTGGAATTCACACCACTGAAAGTAGCATTAGTCTTACGTGTGGCATTCACGCAGGGTGACAAGAACACACAGGTGTAGCCACAGCAGCCTCGAGGGAGTGGAGGGCCGGCTCTTGGGGTCTTGTTTGTCTGCAGGACTGCCGTGTACAGTTATTCAGGCTGTGCACTGCACAAGGGAGCCCCGCTGAGGGTCGCGGGGGCAGAGGTGGGACAGCAGGAGGGTGCCTTGCTCCCTGGCTCGAGGGCCGCCACCCCAGTCCTGCCACCAAGGCACAGTGATCTGCAGAGGCAGGTGCGGCCACTGCTGCTGCCACACTGTCTCTTCCTTCGTGTTATTTATGACACTACGCACATTATAATCACATTAACAGACGTGAGAACGAAAGGAAACGACGTCACCTGTGACCTCGCTGTCCCGATAGATCAGACTCTCCTTCCCACTGTTGCTCGGAGAGTCTGCACTTTCGCTCTAACACACTCAGTCTGGAGACAGCACGTCCCCGTCGTAACCGAGTAAGGCTCGCCCTGCCGCCTCCGCCCCGCTGCACGACCTCGCAGTCACAGACTGACTGCCTGGAACAGTCCACCAGGCAGAGGCGTCGTCGCTTCCGCACAGGTTCTGACCTTCGCCTCGTTCCGCAGGCGCTGGAACCAAAGCCGGGCGGCTGTGCAGCTGCGCGAACTGTCCGCTCAGCTGGAGCGACTGATCTCGTCTCTCGGTGCCCAGTTTCCTCGAGTGCAAAAGCAAAGGAAGGAATCCCCGGGCCACTCGGCGGCCTCAGGGGGAGGCGGGGGCGGAGCGCGGCTCGGAGAGGCCCTGAGGGTCGCGGGTGGAGGTCGGTGGGTCGAGTCTGCCTGTGGGGAGGCTCCCGAGAGGTGGGTTTCCAGGGAAAAGGCGAGACTGTCTCAGCACGCTGAGTCCTGCTCTGTGGACTACTGGCTCTTCAAAAACGCTAAACTTCAATGAGTACCTCGTTTGGTGGTGATTTCTGTTCCGCAGTTTTAAAGTTTTCCGTAAGGTTAAGAAGGAGAGTCGGCTGCCGCGAAGGGCGTGGGGCGGGGAAACGTCCTGAAGCGCTCGGGGTGGGGCCAACGCTGGAGTCGAAGCCTAGATGTTTCCCACCCTGGTTCCCAGGAACGCTGGGCAGGGCTGGGATGACTCGGAAAGCCCGTCTGACCCGGCTCTGCTGTGGGGAGGGCGCGGCCAGGCAGACGAGGGGCTGCAACCCGGACTGAGCTCCGGCCTGTGAGGGGCAGCATGGAGGGCCCGGCAGACGGGGGCCTGCCCCCCTTTTCTTGGGCCGGGGCGGGGGGGGCGTTTTGGTTTTTTGCGTTTCGGCCCTTTGGCCGGGGGCCCCCGCCTTGGGCGGGACCCTTTTGGATTTGGTTCTGGGGCGTTGCTTGTTCTTGGCTTTGGGGCGGGGGCGGGGGGGGGTTCGGCCCAGGTTTCGGGGGATTCGCGGCCTTTTCAGGGGGTGTTTCGGGTTCTTTGGATGTTTTTGGGGGTTGGGGTTGTTTTCGGTTGGGCCCTTTCCCGGTTGTTTTCTTTTGCCGGTTGGGGTTGGGGGTTCCCCGGGGGTGGGGGGTTGGGGGTGACAGCAGTGACCCGCCCTGACCACCCCTCTCCGTTACCTGCCACTGTCACCTGGGGGGTCATGCTGGGGTCTGTCGGTGCCGCTTGCCCCCGAATGTGAACATGGAGATTTTATCAGATGGAGCCAGGCCGTCCCTGGGGACGAGGACAGGGCCAGACACAAGGGGCACCCACTCAGGACCTTGGGGACACGCAGAGCTGAGGGGCCAGGCCAGCGCCCTGGGCACAGTGACACTGGGGGAGGGCTGGAGGCCAGAGGTGGTGCGGACACTGGTGCTGTGGTTTGGAGCATGAGGACTGACGTGGCCCGTATCTTGAGACCGAGGAACGAACACAGAGACAAAAAGACACAGACACACGTAAAGACGGGACACGACTGCAGCCACTACAAAAAGACACAGACACACAAAGACGGTATATAAGACTGCAGCAAAAGCTCTTGCTGTAGTCGCTTTATTTATAACACAGCCTGTCTGGCAACTGTCCCACCGCAAGTTCTTTGTTCCCACACTGTCCCGACTCAACACGTCCCTGTTCCTTGCTGTTTCGTCTCCGGCGAGCAGATGTTTGCATCTGAACTCTCCAGCCCCTCCTGTTTGCAGGGTCAGGGCGCCCTGGACTTGCCTGCAAGGCCAAGGCATGTTCTTGAGAAGAACAACAAGAAACCGTTCCCAGACAAAGTGTCCTCTACAAGGCCACTGGGCTGTGTCCCCGTCCAGGGTCCCTCAGCCACACACCGGAGAGCTGGGGCCTCCTCGGAGACACGTGGTTCTGTTGTAGGACCCGTAACGCCCACTGTTTGCGGGGGAGCAGCTGCCACCATGCGCAATCTGCACGCGCTGGTCCGTGGTCTGCCCCCTTGAGGTCAAGCTACACCACACAGAGACTCGCTCTACCTAGAGGTGAGGATGCCTCGTTCACTTGCTAACGACTAACGCACCAGGGCCGGCCCGTTTTCCACGCACGACCCTTGACGGGGGAGCAGTCAGGCCACGGCCACGGCTGTCCCCGGTGGAGCCGCGGCTGCGGGAGGGTGGCATGCACACCTGTGACAAGGCCAAACCGCAGAATGTCCCAGCAGACTCGGACGCACAGCTGAGGCCAGTAACCGCCAGCCTCGGACATCTCTCAGCTCGGAGGATCCACGAACTGCTCGGAACAGGTCTGTGATCTAGAATTTCTGCCCAGCCAATGACCTGCCTCTGAAAACGAAGCTTTTGTGTGAATCCCCCATAAAACCCTCCTGCACACCGGGCAGGAGGACACCGGGCAGGGCTGTCCCGGGGCGAAACCCAAGTTGAATTCTGCGCTTCCCCAGGAACGCCGCCCCTTTGACCCCGTGCAGATCTTTCTCTTCTTGGTTAACAGCATCAACAGCGAACAACGAAACGGCAGATTCGAGACTAAAGGGCTCTTCCTCGGTTGGTTGGTGCACCCTGCGCAGCTGGCTCGCTGAAGACACACGCACGTAAAACTGCCCCAGGAGGACGTGCAGAAACGGGCGAGGGATGAGCCCCGGGACAGCCCACGGCTGGACGGCCTGTGTGCGTGTGCGCCCGGCCTGCGGTGACAGCGCTGGTCACGGCCTGCGAGTTGGCTTGGCGTCTTCCGCACCGCCCTGGAGCGAAGCGGGCCAGCAGGCCCGTGCACAGTCTCACACAGAGACCTCTACCGAGGGAGCAGCCTCGGGACACTGTCCTGACTCCGGGGACCGGAGCTGTGGCCTGCGCACAACTGCCGCCATCTTCGTCCGTTCCACGCTGCAGACGCTCTGTCTTCCCAGTAAAGAGACATTAACTTTGAAAAGGGGGGCGGGCTGCACCCCCCAGCAGCCGAGACGACCCCTCAGGACCCTCCTGGCCTCCCAGCCCCCTTCCCCCGTTCAGACCCGGCACCTGGTCCTCTTGCCGAATGTGGCCTAAGCTGCCCCCACACTTTGGGTCGCTCACTAGAGAACTACGCCCTAACTTAGCACGGAAACAAACTGCAACCTAACACGCATAACCTCGTAACAAGCAGCTGGGCCTCAGCCAATCACAGGCTGCCAACTGTCAGACCACGCCCACACGAGGCAGCTGTGGCCAATCACAGGCCCCCCACGACACTGGGCGGGGCTCGCCAAACCTCTCTGGGTCCGAGTCTGCCCCACCCACGTGCCGTCCTCTGCTCAAGTAAACCGCGACAGCTAATTTGTCTCAAGTTTTCCTTGCAACACTCGTGACCGTCACGCTGCACCTGGACCGCGGCGAGTGCCTCCCCGCTGGCCTCCAGCTTCCGGCCTGTTCCCACACGACGGGTGTAGCACGTCCCGCTCCGCTGCACCCGGTGACCCCACGACCCCAGGGGACGTCCTCCCACTCCCTCTGCCATGCCGCAGGCTCCCCCGGCCCTGAGCACAGGCGGGCGCCCTTGGGGCCTGCAGCCCCGGCCCTCCCCGCCGCACTCTCCTCCCGCCACTGCGTCCCTTCCCTGCTGGTCTTTCCTCCCCACGACCGAGACCCCGCGCAGGCCACGATGCCACCCTGTCAGTGCTTAGGACCGGCGGTTTTCAACTTTCTCTCACAGGATTCTTCCCCAAACAGCCGCAGCGGCAGGCAGTGTGGCGAGCAGAGGAGAGCTGGGCTGCTGTGGGTGGGGACGGGCCTGGGTGGTCCCCTCGGGAGCAGGCCCAAGCAACATGGGGCCCAGGGGCTCTGGGAGCAGGTGGGTCCCCACAGACGGCTGCACCGCAGCACCGGGGCCCAGGGCGGCCTCACGGCCCCTGGTGTGTCACCATCGGCCTGCCGGGAGCCTGCGAGGTCTGCCACGGGCCCCGCGTGGCGGGAATGAGACCACGCTCACGACTGCCGACTACCACAAAGCCGTTTATTTTCCTCGGAAAAGAGGGCACACGGTTACAGTTCGAAATGTTTTGTGTAACTCTCATCCTAAAAAATTCAACAGTATGAAAATAGCACTGTTTCTAGAATCGCAGCTTGGTAGAAAATTTTATTAATAACGTCTGAGTGTACAAATGGAAAAAGAATAAATATGTCGTCCTTTACCCTGCGCAGCTTTGGATGACACCGCGGGACCCTGCTGCGCCTTCAGGGCCAACTTCGAAAGCCTGGGAAGGAGGAGACGGGGGAGGCAGCGACCAAGACTCGCCAGGCTCCCAGAGGAAGAGCTGTGTCCCTCCTCGCTGACCGGTCTCTGTCACACGAGTGTCCGTGTCATTGTGCCCCCAGCAGATGCAGGACGTGGGTGCCCAGTGTCACATGACACCGTGGTGGGCAGTCACGCAGGGTGAGGGGCCAGGGGTGGGAGGGGACCTGAGCCTGCAGCCCGCCAGACTGCGCCCTCCTGGTTCCGCACCGGCGTCCCCGCCTCGCGGGGCCCTGCGGTGGCAGCACCAACACCCGGAAGAGGGTTTCCGTGAAGGGGGCACAAGGCGCCACCTGACAGAGCAGCTGGCCTCAGACGCAGCTTCTGAAGTCGGTGTGGCTGTCACTTCTCACTTGCTTCTCCACGGGGAGCGACGGGCCTGGCGGCCCTGCGTGTCCCCCCACCGCGTAAGCGCGGAGCAGCCCGCCAGGCCCCGCGAGAGCACAGAGCCGAGTTTCCCCGACGGCCGCTGTTTCCCCGGAGGCCCCAGCGAGGAAGCTTCTGGCACTGCGGCGTGAGAGGAGGACCTGGACGGGCACCAGGGCCCCTGCAGGCCGCAGGCCAGCGCCCGGCGGGGCGGGAGGTTCACCTTCCGTCCGCCCCGAGAGGAAACAAGCTCACGTGGCCTCCCACCGGGCGGAAGGGCAGGGGCAGGTGGAAGGGCCTCCCTGGCCGCTCCCGCGGGCGTTTGCGACGGTCAGTCAGGTCAGAGCGGCGCCAGCTCCAGGGAAGCGTCCGCCCGAGTCTGCCCGAGACGGGGCAGCTCATCCACATCCACCCTCGACCGCTGAGCACACGCGGGGAACGAAGGCGGGTGGAAAGGCCTCAAGACGGGTCCGACGAACACCCGCCGTACTTCTGCACCAGCACACGGGCCTTGTTGGCGACTGGGACGCGGCTGCGCAGAGCCTGGCTGAGCACACCACCGCCCCGGAAGGCGGCAGAGCCCGTCCACACACAGCCCAGGCCCACGGCAACGCCGAGAGCGCGGCTCTGAGCGTGTCTCCCCGCGAGCGGGGCCTCCTCTAGGCCTGGGACCCTGCGAAGGGACAGTCCTGTCTGCCCAGCCCCGGACCAGGGCCACAGAGCAGCTGCGACAGGACCTGTGTCTGTCCTCGTGTCACACGGCGCAGGGCAGCCGCTGTCTGCGCCACGTCAGAACGCGATCTTCCAGTGCGTGGGCTGCTCACACGCCTTCTCCTGGTCTCCACAAAACCTGTTGTACGTGGTCTTGGGGTCCAAGCCCAGGATTTCTCTCTCCTCGTGAATCCGAAAAGAGAACGTTGAGACCGAGGTGCCGATGAAAAACCTGCAAAGTGTCACCGGAGGTTCCAGAGTTACACAGACCGATCGACCCATCGATCGACCCAGCACATGCAGCGCCAGACGCCCGTCTGGCCTGGCCCCCCTTCCGCGGGGGCCCTCGACGTCTGCACCCCGGGGCTCTGCCCAGCATTTGTGTCCCCCCCGCCCCCCTGCCCAGCGAGCCTCTGCACCCCGCCGCAGGCCGCCTCCTGTTGCCCAGTGCCAGACCAGGCACGACCGTGCGCTGGGGGCTGGGGGTGGTGAGGGTCTCCCCGCCAGGTCCTGCCCCCCACCAGCAGCACACAGGCCTGGGCGGTCGGTCCCCTGGCCCAGTAGGGCGCTGTGCACGTGGCCCTTGCTCTGGAAACGTCTCTCAGATTTGATTGGTCGTTTGGTGGCAGAGACCAGCCGCGTGGGAGTCAGACGAGCGGGTGGGCTGTCGCCCCAGAGGTTCAGAGGGCCCCTGGGAAAGGCCGTCCCCGCTGCCCAGACGGCGTGTGTGTGAAGGGCCTTCGGCACCGTGGCACGACAGCTCCTCGAGGTCAGGGCCCCACCACCCTGGGCTGGGGGAGCATCGTGATGAGTAGGAAGCCCCCTAGTTTACGGCGGGACCCCACGCGGAGGGCTGCCAGGGAGGGCCGTGCCGGCCTGGAGGCAGCGCAGCCGCCGTGAGCTGGCCGCGCACTTCACACTCGGGCCCGGTCGGGCTTCCTGAGAGCTGAGGGTCGGGCTGAAGAGCTAAGCGCAAAACCTCCCGAACCCGAACTTCTGGGGCCCAGGAGAGAAACCTGTCAAGCTCTCGAACACCCAGAGGCCACCTGAGGGGCGGGGACAGCCTGTGCCTCGGCCCCCACACGACTGAGATCGGCCCCGCGCCCCGTCTGCCTCGCAGGGTCAGGGGGGCCTCCCTCTGGGAAATGGTATCACCCGGGGCCTCCGTGGGTTTCTGTGCCCAGAACACATGAAGGTCACCAGACGCGTGAAGGGGCAGGGCAGGGTGGCAGCGCCCGCTAACCCGCGGCGTGCGCGGTGCCCGGGGGTCTGAAAGCTCGGAAACCAAAAGGACGACCATTCACTCCACCTCCACTGTCCGGTTTGCTCAAAACGCCTCGACCTAGTCGCAACCGCGGCCTCCCGCGCGGAGGGGCAGAGACTGGGCCTGCCTCCCGCGGGACAGCCCCAGGACAGCGAGGGGACACGGGCCGTTTACACGGCTGTGTAGGATGCTCCGTGCAGAGTGTCCAACACTACACACATGACCTCGGCCGTGGGCCAAGCCCGGCGTACCGCTAACTCCCAGTGGGCAGCAGAAACTGAGCATGACGGGAAAGGCGAGATGGGAGGAGCCCTCTGGGACGCAGCGACAGTGGCGTGCCACAGAGGAAGCCCGTGGACGAGGAGCAGCCTCAGCGCACAGCGAGCTAAGCGTTACCAGAGGCTTAGATGAAACCGCGAAGAGAACAGGGGCGTGGCCAACGCGCGCACACAGGCTGCCACCCGCTGCAACTGCGTCCTGACAGGCAAGACCCCCTGGAGAAGCCCCCGCTCCCAGCTGACGAGCGAGGCCGCGCACCTGGCGTGGGCGCAGATCCACTGGTCGATGATGGCCACGCCGCCGTCTTTGTAGAGCTCCAGCTCCTCCCAGGTGGGCTCAAACCTCACCATTTCGGGCAGCAGCTTCTTCAGCTCTTCGTGTTCTGCAAAGCAGGAGAGGCCGTCTGACGCGCGACCCTCGGCACACAGGCGGGGACGCCGCGCACACCTTGCCGAGGCCTCAGAACCGCTGGAAACGGGGGACGCAACTCAGCCTCACCCTCCTGGGAACCAGAGCCGACGACCGAGTGACCCGGGGTCACAAAGACACGAAAGGAGGTCGCCCGTCAAGGCTCCGTACCCTTCCTGACGGCGTCGGTGGCCACAAACACCTTGTCGAGCTGGTGAGCCCTCATCAGGCTGCGGATGGTCCTCACGGCCCCCTCCAGGCTGGGCACGTCCTCTCTGTGCCCCCAGATGAAGTCCTTCCTGCGCAGGTGCACGCCGAGGTAGGGGCCGCCGCGCGCGGAGCCCAGCTTGACCTGGCAAGAACCACAGGGACACGCTGGCACCGCCAGGCCTGCCGGGAGCTGAGCGGGCGGAGCTCGCCCTGGGCCTGGGGGGACTCGGGACACGGAGTGGACACGCATTTGCACACGGCGTCCTCACGGGGTCACCTCGAGGTCTGTCTGGGGGATCTCAGGCAGAATCTCGGGGGGGGGACTGGGTTTCTTTTTAAGACCATAAAGCGATCAATTTTCACAGACCCTTTGAGTAAAATAAAAATAGTAAAATTAAAACATTTTTTTAAAAAATGAAGCCTAGAGAAAACACAAATGGAATAAAAGTGAAGAATCCACTGAATATTTTTTCCAGTAAACCCCCGAGCTACTGGATCACTGCTGGGACGGCGCCGCTGCACCGGGAACGAGCCCGGCGTCCGCGAGAACCAACAGGGACGCGGCGCTCCTCGCCGTGAACGCTTCGCCGTTGAAAACGGGCCAAAGAGAGACAATGAAAATGCTTAAAAATAATGTAAATCTGAAAAAGCAACATGCTATTTGTCGAAATTATATTATAGAAAAACCTAAACTTTCAGGAAAAACTTAAAATACACACGTAAAATGACAAAGGACACCACCAGACCAAAGTGGCTCAGTGGTGCTTTCAGGCGAGTCTGGGGACTTTGCTGCTCACGTGTTACACGGAGAAACATGGGACTGGCCACCGCCTTTCACTTCCACGACTCCACCTCACTTTACGCACAG